TGCACCCTGCGCACACGCATCTCCAAACAAGGCCGGCGGCTGGCCAAACATGCGGTGAGCATCTGGGGCTTTGCATGTGGGCAGCTGATTTGCAGAAGCAGGGTTGGTTGGGGAGTGCAAACTGTTTCTCGCATAATTGCCGGGATCGGTCCATCCCCCAAGGTACCACACGAGAAGGGAGAGGTGGAGGAGGGATGCTTTTAGCACAGTGGTGTGGGGGTTACCTGGGAGTGGGAGGGGAGAGAGCCACTGGTACAAGGAAAGGAGGCTGTGCATTCTCCATCCCTGGAGATCTTTAAGAGCAGGTTGAACAGACACCTGTCAGGGATGATCTAGCCCAGTGTTTCTCAAGCAGTGGTATGAGGACCCTTAGGGGTACTCGAGAGAAGTCTGGGGGATACGTCAACACAAGTGAAATTTGGAGAAAACTGAATTTTTGTTGTAAGTTTTCCAGCGCTTTCTTATTTTTGTATTTTTTACACCCAAAAGTTTCATCGCCCGCCCGGCTACGATTAAGTTGTTTAAACAATTGTGTTGCAATGGTAGAAAAAAAAGGTGCGTGTCTGAAAACAGTAGGGACTGGGGGTAATTATAATTTTTTTTAGAAGGGGAACTTAGTAAAAAAACCCGGCTACGATTAAGTTGTTTAAACAGGTGAGTTGCAATGGTAGAAAAAAAATTGTGTGTCTGAAACTGTAGGTACTGGGGGTAATTATAATTTTTTTTAGAAGGGGAACTTAGTAAAAAAAGGTTGAGAAACACCGATCTAGATGGTGCTTGGTACTTCCATGAGGGGGGCAGGCCCTAGTGCCCCTGATTTCAATGGGGTCACCTGTTAGGGCATAACCAGAGGGATTTGTTTGTTCCTCCCTGAGTCCCCGTTTCAGCTCATCGAGTTGGTGGAAATCTTGATAACAAAATATAGGGTCAAGTTGCATATCCCTTGAGAGCCCTTTTCTTTCCTGCAAACCCCACGGTCCCAAATGTGACGGGCATAGAACAAGGATGTGGCTATAGATTCGGGGGAAAAAGGTGTTAGAGTTTTGGGGGAGGTTTTTTTGGATCGTGAAACTTTTAACACGGGGCGCCGTGCATTAAAGAAGAAATGGGAGTGCCTTGCCTCCACGCTGAACAAACACCCTCAGCTGGGATCCGGAGCCCCTGGGCTAAAGCGATGAGGCTGGCCTGGCCCAGCTATTTTGGGTGAGGTGGTGCATGGGCCCAGTCCAGTAAGCGGGCTCAGAACCCACTTAAGGGCATGGGTACCGCGCATGAGCTAGGCAGAGGAATATGTTTTCCATGGGCAGTGCAAAATGGAGTCTGGGGGAGGCTAAACCTCCCTAAACTTCTACTAATATTCCCCACCGTGGCCCCGGGGCCAGGCTGTGGCAGGGCTCTGAGCTCTTGCAGGCGGCTAGGGCTCAGGGTGCAGGGTTCCCTGTAATTTTGTTCATATGTGTGCGGAATAAATTTTGTTACATGCACCAAGGTATGTGTCAATGTGCACCACCAACACACATACAAGCTGCCAGCTGTGGGAGCTCTGCTCATCAGCCGGGTGGTGTTTGAATCTCTCCTGGGTGGCTGCCCACATTCTCAGTGTGCGGGGAACACTGTTGGGGTGGGTTGGGGGTTGGGGGGGGCTGAGCAAGGGGTGGATGGGGGTCAGCTGGGGTGCCAGGCAGCTTGGGGAGGCGGGTCCAGCTGAGAGCAACTTCATCTGATCCCTGGCCACAGTTGGGGACTCCTCTAACCCCCGTGGGAGAGCAGGAGAGGTGGAGAGTAGGAGCCTCGGGTGGAAGAGGCAGGAAAGGGGTCTTTACACACTGCTCATGTGGTTTCCCCTCAATTGCACTGGGGCGTTAGCAGCCAGAAAACGACACAGAGGCAGCTGTGCGCACAGAGGTAGAAACATAGATATTTAGGGAACCTTTCCTGCAAAAAAATTAGGTGCCCACAGATTTGGTCTGAACCGGAGCAGTGAATACTAATGTAACGCTGACAGGAGGAACCAAACCGGGGACCTCTGGAACTTAGTGCACAAGCCTCTTGTGCAGGCCGCTGATGCTCAACTAAGGGCTGTAAATAAGATTGCCAGACACGTTCACAAAAAATCCTGAACATGTCAGGGAAAAAAATTGACTGGGGGGGAAAAAAACCCCAGGGGACCAAAGTCCTCATTTCATGAGGAGCCAGGGAATTCGGAGGAAGAGTGCTCTCCTTTGACTACCTGCTGTGTAGACAGCGCTAAAAGCTGCAATTGACATAGCTGAAGTTGCGTAGCTTAATCTGCCTTTTGCCCTGCAGTGTAAACGCGCCCTCTGTAAGTGGTCTTGGCGTCACCCCATGGAACAGGTCACCTCTCCCAGCAGCACCTGATTCTGGGATGTCAGGGGGTTCTGCGCCTTTAAATCCACACGCTCACCCTGCCCCTGCCAGACGTTTTTACATTTCCGGTATTTTCTGGTTTTTTTACCAGACAGTCCAGGAGAAAACTGGACACCTGGCAACCCTAGCTGTAAAACCGACTCATTCTCTCTGGGCCTACATTGCAGGATTGTTTTGAAGTAACAAAGAGTGCATCTACACAGCAAGCCATTATTTCAAAATAATGTCAAAATGGCAAACTTCTTACTCTGGCTTCTGTAACCCTCATTTCATGAGGAACCAGGGAATTCGGAGGAAGAGTGCTCTCCTTTGACTACCTGCTGTGTAGACAGCGCTAAAAGCTGCAATTGACATAGCTGAAGTTGCGTAGCTTAATCTGCCTTTTGCCCTGCAGTGTAAACGCGCCCTCTGTAAGTGGTCTTGGCGTCACCCCATGGAACAGGTCACCTCTCCCAGCAGCACCTGATTCTGGGATGTAGATGCCTAAAAGGGCACTTAGCGACCTAAATCCCTTTGTCAGTCTAGCACTCTCTGCCTCAGTTCCCCAAGTGTAAAATGAGACTAATGGTGGCAGCAGTGGGAATCGACACTTTAATGACCATAAGATGCTAAGATTCTGTGGAGATGATATGTCCTGATGCAGAGGTGAGGGGAGTCTTTCCACTGAGTTTATTGATCGTTGGATGCAGACTCAGAAATGGCAAACTTCTTACTCTGGCTTCTGTAACCCTCATTTCATGAGGAACCAGGGAATTCGGAGGAAGAGTGCTCTCCTTTGACTACCTGCTGTGTAGACAGCGCTAAAAGCTGCAATTGACATAGCTGAAGTTGCGTAGCTTAATCTGCCTTTTGCCCTGCAGTGTAAACGCGCCCTCTGTAAGTGGTCTTGGCGTCACCCCATGGAACAGGTCACCTCTCCCAGCAGCACCTGATTCTGGGATGTAGATGCCTAAAAGGGCACTTAGCGACCTAAATCCCTTTGTCAGTCTAGCACTCTCTGCCTCAGTTCCCCAAGTGTAAAATGAGACTAATGGTGGCAGCAGTGGGAATCGACACTTTAATGACCATAAGATGCTAAGATTCTGTGGAGATGATATGTCCTGATGCAGAGGTGAGGGGAGTCTTTCCACTGAGTTTATTGATCGTTGGATGCAGACTCAGAATCTCCACTCATTTTATTTCTCCTTTTGTGCCTCTTCAGTTATCACGAAGAGGCAAGACGCTGCCTTTTTCTCCGGCTCCCAAGTGTTGCAGCCTCTTCCCTCCCTGGTTGCATCTTCCTCATCCTGCTCCCGGCTCTCGGAGTGGACTCAGGTAGAAATTCCATTGCCTCCCCGCACCCTAAGCGGATTTGTATATGATTTAGAAAATGCATCTATTTTACTGTTTGAGGGTAAATACTGACACTTACGCTAGAAAGAAAGAAAGAAAGAAAGAAAGAAAGAAAAACTCAGGCTATGTCTAGACTGCACTTCTTTTCCGGAATACCTTCGATAGCCCGGAAAAGCAATGCCACGTCCAAGGAACACGTTCTCTTTATCAGAATTTTTTTTGAAAAAGCAGACGTGTTCTTTCATCGTCCCTGTAAACCTTGTTTTATGAGGAAGAAGGGATGTGTTGAAAGAGGACTTTTTTCCAAAGTTTGGTGCCGTGTAAACTCGCCAAATTTCAGAAAAACCTCTTTCGACAGTAAAGCAGAAAAATATGTGCAATTTGCGTGCCACAAATTGGGTATCTTTTTCTGATTTAACTCTGCAGTCTAGACATAGCCTCAGAGAGTAGGAGAAAGAAAGAAAGAAAGAAAGAAAGAAAGAAAGAAAGAAAGAAAGAAAGAAAGAAAGAAAGAAAGAAAGAAAGTTTATACTAATCCCCCGCTCACCCACATAACTTCAAATAATAATAACTTCAGAATTGTTCTGACATACAATAAAATTACCCTGTGCCCATCATGATACTTTGCCTGACCCACATCTCCTGAATGAAAGCTAAGCATGTAGCAAAGTGCTTTCCAAAAACAAGGCCTCTGTGGTCATATAAAAGAGGAGCTACCTTAAATCTCCATTCTCTGGCTTTCTAAGGAACAATTTTTTGAGCTGTTGCAGGGATACTGTCCCTGGTCTTTGTTTGCCAGAGGCTGGGGTTAGACAATGGGATGGTTCACGTGAGTCTCTCCTGTTTTGTTCATTCCCACTGGAGCACCAGGCACTGGCCACTGTGGCAAGACAGTACACGGGGCTAGATAGGCCATTGGTCTGACTCATTCTTCTGCCGTACCTAGGAGTCATGGATCTGGCATCTATTGTGTGGTTCACACCTCGTGTGGGTCGCTGTTCCATGTAGTGGCACTTAGACCACTTACAGCGAGTGATCAGCGCAAGGGAGCTACACGGCCTAAGCTCTGAGTTAGTTGGTTTTGTTGCTCAAGCTATAGAGGCTCCGATACTAAGTTCTTGAGGTCCTAGGTTCAAATCCACCCAGTGGTGGTTACGCTATGTGCTGTCCAAGAGAGTTTAGTAGCTAAATATAAGACAAGTAAGGCCAGATGGATCTGATACAGATAGATGGGGGAATATAAGGAAACCTGTGAGACAGCAGTGGAAGAGAGGCTGTGTTCTGAACTCACCAGCAGCTAGCCATTGGGAAGATTTCTGTAGGCCTCATAACGGACGAGGTTTGTGGCGGAAGCTAACAAGTTGGTGGTTTACTGAGAGCTTCTCCCAGGGAGGAGGCCATTACAAGGGAGAAAGCAAAAAAGGTGAAAATGTCACAAGGGGGTGATGGCCAGTTAGAAACGAGTCAATCTCTTGACTTTGAAGGAGAACTTATAAGTTGCATGGGCGAGTCTCTGAGAAGGTCTTTGGAAGTGAAACAAAATAGAATCACAGAGACCAGGGGGAGGCCATTCCTGGCTAATTGCCATTGATGGACCTGACCTATCCTCCATGAATTTATCAAGCTTTTCTTGGAACCTGGTTAAAGTCCTGGCCTTCAGAACATCCCCTGGCAAGGAGTTCCACAGGTTGGCAGGGAGTTCCCGAGGTAAAAATGAGAAAGTCAACCATTTTCCAGTGCTTGTGTGGCTGTGACGCTTTTTTTTTTATACAATCAGACGATTGTATAAACAGGCAATTTTTAAGCAAGGTGAAACTTAGACAGGACAAATCATCCAGTCACTTGCAAAGGTTGAGCCACTGGTCAAATGTCATTTTGTCTCTGGAAACTAGCTACAGGTTGCACCTCTCTACTCCAGTACTCTCTGGTCTGGCAACCTCCATGGTCCGGCATGATTTTAGTAAACTGCATGTCCGTTTATTATGGGTGTGCCCAAGTTTCCAGTGGTCCCATAAAGTTTGTTTATAGCTGCCCGTCCTGGCTGTCAGGGTTCTGTGCTGGAATTTAGCTCTAATTCACCCCTAAATGTCCTATAACAGCCCAATAAGCAGTGGAAGTGTTGGCCATGCTGCTAGACAATACTGACCGCCTGTGGTCCGGAAAATTCTCTGGTTCAGCATCGGTCAGGTCCCGAGGATGCCGGGGGAGGTTCAACCTGTCCAAAGCTGACTTGGTCAAACAGAAGGAAAAAAGGCTTTCTTAAATCTTCTCATTTGTCCTTCGGTTTCAGCCCTCGAGATGATTTCTTTGGTCTTCTGGTTCATTTCACAGCCTGGTTTCAAGTGGTTGGCCCTGGCGTCCCTGTGGCTGCCATGGTGGGCGGGGAAATTATGCTTCCCTGTCACCTGTCCACGCCGATGAGCGCCGCGAGCATGGAGGTGCTGTGGTACCGCACTCAGCACTCTCCGTTTGTGCACCTGTATCTGAATGGGACAGACAACGCCCATGGCCAGATGCCAGAGTATCGTGGGAGGACGGAGCTCTCGAAGGCCGGGATGGCTAACGGAAGCGTCGCCTTGAGGCTACGTGGCATCCGCGCCTCTGATGAAGGACAGTACACGTGCTTTGTGCGGTCGAGTTCCTTTTACGCCGATGCCACGTTGGAATTGACAGTTGCAGGTTTGCACTTTTGTGGCTTTTCCCCACCGTCACTTCTATGTCAGTGCAAGACTACGGAACCTTCCAAAGGGGAGGGGCCCTGTCCTCTCTGTGGCCCCGCCCCTTCCTCTTCCCCTGAAGCCCCTCCCCCAGCCAAGCCAGAGGTTGGAGCCAAACCCATGTCCCCAGACATCTCCATCTGCCCAGGAAGGGGGAAACCGAGAGCAGCC